CTGAATGATGTCAACTGGTTCTTCACTGCTCGTCCTGGTCCAAAACGTTGCCAATGAAATTTCGCGAAAGTCAAATTGAAAATTAGGAATTGTTCAGGGGTAACTGTAACAATTGCCTGCGCATCAATGATCAGAAGACCTGAAGTTAAAGTCGAGGTTCATTTAAAGATTTAATATTGCTTAGTCGTTAAAATGCATGGTTGTGACGCCACAGATATGTTATATGCTCGAGCTAGAACTTGAAGTTTGCACCTGAACGCGCTGTTATTCCTTGGCCAAAATCAGTGATACAGTATGGCGCAAAGCAGGTGCTCAAATCCATGCAAGCTTCATCATGGTTAATCAGCTTTCATAATTGCCAGCTGTGTTAAACAGGAGCTTTATGATGCGATTCTCTCAGAAGCGCGCAGCAAACAAACATGGAAATTGGTATGCACAGATAGATGTGGTGTCAATGGGAGGAAATAAATTGGTGACTCAATCATGTGGGACACAGTAGTCTAAGAAGAAAAAGGTTCGATTCCTCTCGAGGGCAATCTTCGTCTCACCGGCGAATTTTCGTTAGCAAAAGGTTTACCGCACATTGTTTCACACCGGGGTTGTTCAGTCGGTAGAGCGATAGGCCCTGAGTTCAAACCTCGGTCAGGGTCACTCTCCTTTCTTCCTTCGATGGTTGGCAAATGAGTAGCCGTCTGTGGAAACAAAATTGGACATCGAACATCGACGCTTATCAAATGGCTGTAGGCTTTGCCTTAAAAATAAGGTACTGTTGGGTGATGGCACAGAAATGGAGATCACCACTGCGCCATCAAGTTGCTGAAAAGAAAGGCGCCAAAATGGCCCACCAATGAAAGCGAAGGAAGATCAGTGTTCTAACGCTGGTCGCATAGAAAGCTATATGAACAAAACAGGTGATTGAAAGCAAGGTACTTTGGTTCGATTACATGAAAAGTTGGCATAAGGATTATGTAATTCGAAGAAGGGGAACATTATTGAAAAAGGGTTAGCGATACCGTAAAGATTGTACATTCGCTGATTGAAAACTCGTCCAAGAATTGAAAAATGGGAAGCAGATGATTCGTGTAAAAGACATTGGACACCGGTAATATTTTGGAAATAAGAACAGACAAATAAAGCTGGGGCTTGGCTTTGTCGTAAAAGCTTTGGAGTGCCCTGATCATGCTTCAAACCATGATGAATTTGCATATTTGTGGTTCGAGGCAGCTAACGAAAAAGGTACCAACGCTGTCAACCGCCAGCATAACCACACTGGTAGCGTCAATGGGACAGAGTAGTAGCAATGAGGAAAGTAAAGCGTAAACGGAAATGGCGCTACTCCCTGCGTTGCTGAAGCCATGAATCATGGATTATGAAATTCATTATAGTTCCAACAGTGGGTACAGAATCGAAAATGTGAGTTAATATGAATATTAACTTACGTGAAAGATTTTTTTGTTTTTTTTGTCGTAACTCTCAATCTCAAAAATTCGGCAGACGTTTTTTGATGTCATTTACGATCTTGCAAGTGACTCATATTCTTGAATTTCGAACAAGAAAAGCAAGTCCGAATGCTCCATCGTAGCTACAGTATAGAAGCTGAGAATTCCTCCTGTGAGTATTTCAATAGACAGTTCCGGTTTTGCACCGTGGAAACGAGTTGCCCTATTTCTAGTATTTGAGCACCTGTGACACAAGGGTCGGAAAGCTTCTACGCGGTGGCAACCTCAGAACATTAGTTTGTCTATGGATTTCACTACGGAGAGTAACAGATTCAGCTGGTGTTCGAACGTGCGCTTGTAAGTCCACCTCAGAGATGGGTTCGTTTGCGTCCCATTCACTGTACGCGCTGAAATGCATGGAACCTTAGCCTGCTTAAATTGTTCCCATAGGCGACTAGGTGCGAGGGGGGACGATGAGCTTACATGGAATGAATACGATAACAGAAACTCAAATATTGTTGTTTTTATATTAGTTATGTCAATATTTAGTGAACAGCTTATGCAACACAAACTTTATTTACCAGTTCTTTAAAACTACAGAAGGCTAACCGGCATTTCTAGTAATGTCGGTAAATTTCTAAATGACACCATGTTCCATCTTTGATCATTGTCATTATATTGAAAAATTAACGCCATTAAAATCGATCAAACAGAAAATACGTTTCTTCCTGCATGGAAAAATTCACT